ATGTTACCGATCATTAGCTGTTTGGGAAATGTAATTCAAAACAATTCTGAGAGCTCACCTAGCACCCACAGAGAGAGCCCAATTCAAAAAGACAGAAAGCAACAAATGCTGGAGGGGGTGTGGTGAGACAGGAGCTCTTATTCACTGCTGGTGGTCTTGTAGATACGTGCAGCTGCTGTGGGAAGTGATTTGGCATTACCTAAAACAGATGGAAATTGAGCTACCATATAACCCAGCAATTCCGCCACTGGGCATATACCCAGAAGAAATAATAGACCATGACCAGACATCTGCTCTCCAATGTTCATCGCTGTGCAGTTTACAGTTGCAAAAAAACAGCTTAAATTTCCATCAATAGACAAATGGATAAAGAAACTCATAGACATACACACAATGGAAAATTACACATACCTAAAAACAGTGATGAAACTATGAAGCACCTCATCTTGAGGAAACATTTGGAGAATGTTATGCTGAGTGATGTTAGCCAAGTATAAAAGGTCAAGTATAACATGAGTCCACTGAGGTCAGTTCAAACAGCAGAACAGGCACAAGGGAAAATGCACATAACACACAATCCCTAGGCTGAAGACCAGATATTCTGGCAAGAGCCAGACCAGAGTCAATGACCCATCTGTCATCAACATCAGATTCAGATAGCACTTATGCAGAAAGGCATCTCCCCCCACCCTTCATATGCCTTTAAGGCCCACAGAGGTGTGGGGAAAGAATAATGATGGCAATTGGAGGTAGGGGGTCAGGGCACTAACCCACCAAAGGGGAGAGTCTTGTTTATATTTTCACAAGAAAGGGGGAGCGAGAGTAGACTTCAGTCTAGTGTGCCAATTCACGAGAGCAATGCTACTGTGCAGAGATGACGGTAGGGCTGGTCCCAGCTCGAGACATGACATCCTTTTCCTTGATGACAGCGCCACAGAGGACAGCTCTGAAGATTCAGGGAGAGCGACCAGTCTCACCCACCCACTTAGGGCCAAACCAAGATGGGAATGCAACAGACCAGGGAATGCAACATGGTTTCAATGTGTGTGAAACCATGAAGACCCAGAAGAATCCTGAGCATAGATTTCTGACTTGGCAGGGGGGTGGTGGTGGTGGTGGTGGGGGACACATTAGACCGCTCCATCCCTGATTGCTGGAATAGCAATGTGAACTTACAGGATGCTAGCCTTTCAGACACGATTACTGAAGACTAAAAGGATGCATGAGTGGTTAGGTAAGTGGGAGCCAAGACAGGTAACCCTGAAAGAAATGGGGACCGGTGATAGTATTTAACATGTCATTCTCTTTCTTTAAGCATAGAGGTATTTATTTTCTCTATGTCATTATTCTTGTGAGACTTGTGAGTGTTAGTATATATATATCTACACACACACACACATATATAGTGTGTGTGTGTAGATATATATATATAATGTTTATCTATACAAGTAATCCAGGATAGGCAACCTTATGGATACAGCGACTGGACCAGTGCTTCCTGGGGAACACGGGAGGGGAAAAGAGTTCGGGGAGCAGAGCAGGTATCGAATAATGATGGGTACAGAGAATAGTAAGTGCTCTAAAATTGACGGCAAGGGTGGGTAGCTTTTCTTGGTGTATTTGAACAATTGAATTGTATCTGAGGTGTATCTGAGGAGGGGGGAAATAAATAAATAAATTATATAGGTCACAAGGAAGCAGATAGGCTTTGGGCTGCTACTGAAATCCAGCCTCAGTACAAGAACAGTTTGTTCTAATAATGTGGCACTATGTGCTATTTACCTTCCCGACAAGATCGCTGAAGACAAA